TTCCTGTTAGTGATATCGTGGACGCTGGGCTGGGAAGGCGCCCTTCAGGCCCCAGACGAAGGGCACTGCTGAAACAAGCACCATCACGCTCTCGGAGCGCGTTGACAAGCAACGGAACAAAGTGCAGCACTGCTACTAGACAATGTGGACTGTATCTCCAAACAAAGTTAAATTATCTTAGTTGAATCAAAACAACTCAATTACTTCACTCAAGGCACCCTGCGGATCACCTGAGAGCAGAAAGGTAAGACGTGAAACGCACTTGGAGAGACCTGAGCTGAACACAGGGTGTCAGTGCATGAAGATTTTGTCTGGAATACAGCAGAAATGGAAGAGCAGAAAGCCAGGCACGGACATGGGGGTGTCAGTTTCTCCATGCACTCAAAACCTGATACTAAAAAATCTGTACTGCTTGACTTTTTATTCAGTCATTCTAGCAGATGTGAAGTTGTTTGATTGTATGTTTTCTAATGATTAATTAAACATCTAATCATTAAATCCTTTACCCACTTAAGTGGAGCATGGTGAGATCTTGTCTCAAAATAAAAATAAAAATAAAAATAAAAATTGAAAGAGAGTTGGAAGGCTGGGGAGATAGCTCAGTGGCATAAGCACCTGCCTTGCAAGCCCAAGGTCCTGAGTTTGATCCCTAGTACCATAAAAAACCAAAACAAAACAAATAGAGAGGGTTGGAATGTAGCTTAGTGGAATACTTGCCTAGCACTTGCAAGGTCCTGGGTTCAATCCCTATACCTCATACATATATAAGAAGTAAAATTAGGTCTATCACTGATTTATATTATTTCTTTAGATATTCTGGAAATAGATATAGCTGATCACAATATACATATCGGATCACTGCCCTTAGATACTTCCATTACAAAGGCCATTTTCCTATGAATATTATCCTTATACTCTATTAATAAATTCATTTTTGTTGTTACATCTGAATCTGCGATAAAAGAACTACATGGCTGAATAAATTAATAAAACACTAGGTTAATCAAAATAAAACAGATCTTCTCTAAGAATTCTCAGAGACCTTAATATGCTAATAAGCACTAAGTTCCTCTACAAGTAGCACACATTTCAAGCATTTTCCAGAACTTTACCTTGTCTATTCCTATTGGTCACCAATAACCATCTGAATAATGTTTTAAGAAACACAGATGGGAAACCTGTATTAATTCATAGATACCTTTCCTGTTGCAAACAAAAATGAATTTTAAAACATTTTAATTCCTCTCTTTTTATTCCCACCTCTCCTCACACTTTTATTAAAAGATTCTTACTTTAAGATACTTTTCTGTTATTTTTGTGTATATAGTAACATTTCTGGGAAAGAAAAATACATTTGCTCAGCTAAATTTTTCCTTGCGCATTTTTTTTCCTACTTCTGGTAAAGAAGAAATTGGCATGGAATAAAAAGCCATCTTTGGTTCAAAATTTGAAATGGTTTTTCTTTCCACCAAGACAAGGGTAGAGAACAAATGAGATGTAATCAGAAAAACTACTGTTTTAAAAATCAGTTTTCCCACATAGAGATCTAGTCCAACTAGACTGCCTCTTCATGGTTTTCATGAAGAAATTATGCTACAGGACTCCAATGATTTGTAGGGATTAATTGTTTTCATAATTTGTTTTATTCTTTTCACTTTCAGCTTTTGTATAATAAGCTTATGTTTTCTTTTATAACTAGAAAAAATAAAGTTTTAGTTTACAAGAAAATTGGTCACAGAATAAAATTTAAATCCATCTGTATCAAGTCTATCAAGAGAGAAAAAGTTAGGCTGGATTTGGTTGCATGTGCCTGTGACACCAGCACTCAGGAGGCTGAGGCAGGAACACTTGAGGAGAGTCCAAGACTAGCCTGAGCTAGGAAACGAGTTTGTGGGCTGGGAGACAGCTTAGTAGAATAAGCGGTTGCCTGACAAGTGCAAGATCCTGAGTTCAATCCCTGGTACCAAAAAAAAAAAAAAAAAAAAAAAAAAAAAAGCATGAGTTTAAAACAAGCCTGAACTACACAGTGAAACCCTATTTCAAAAAGACCAGGGGGCTGGGGAGATGGCTCAGTGGTGGGGGCCGGGGAGATGGCTCAGTGGAATAAGCGCTTCCCTGACAAGCGCAATGGCCTGAGTTCAATCCCCGGTTCTGCCCAAAAAAAAGTTAACTCTTTAAATAATACATCCTATAAAAATCTTTATGAATGTAAAACTGAACTTTAGGTTTCCACTTTAAGAGATGTGCTGGAAAACTGAATGAATACTACTAGCAAATGAAGTTTGAGCAATCTTCTGTGTATCCTCATCTGGGTTGGTCTCTGGTCTTTAAGATGGGGAGCAAAGCCGGGTGTGGTGGCGCACATGTGTAATCCTAGCACTTGGGAGGCTGAGGCAGGAGGACAAAGTGAGCTCAAGGCCAGCCTGAACTCCATATTAAGACCCTGTCTCAAAAAGACCAAAAAAAAAAAAAAAAAAAAAAAAAAAAAAAAAAAAAAAAAGATGGAGAGAGAACCTGCTTGGACATGTTAGGTGTTAGGTCATATCCAGATGTCCTCCCAGAGCCTCGGGTGCTCACGGTGGGGCTGCGGGAGAAACTAGGTCATGGGCGTGTGGCCTGGATCAACCCACTGTTGGCTTAGCAAAGTTCTGGGTGTGGGCGATAGATTTATTGAATAGGGAAGAGCTACCCTGAGCGTGGGTAGCACCAACCACTTTGAATTAAAAGGGAAGAAGGAAAGACTGCTGCTTTTTGCCTGCCCTGCCTTGGAGCCAGCTGACTATGGACTGAAACCTCCACAAACTGTAAACCAAAACAAATCTTTGCAACTATAACTTGTGGTTTGGGGTACTTTGTCCCAGCAATGAGAGAGTAAGACAGATTTTGATAACAGGAGAAGGGCTGTTGCTACGGCTACCTGAACATGTGCTTCAGAAGATTGTAGAATTGGATTGCACAAGGGATTTGGAAAGGTTTGGAGATGGTGCCTGGAGATGCAGGCCTCGAATGCTATGAGTTGAGCTCGAAAGGCTATTCTGGTTAGAACTCAGAAGCTCAGAATGTTGACTGAAATATAGCCAAAAAAGATCAGGCTCAGGAGGTTTCACCCGGGATGTGTAAAATGTCTGTTATGCTCTGGCAGAAAATTTGCCTACATTTTGTCCATGTCCACAGACAATATAGGAAAGAAGGAACACTGGCTACTGCTCAAGTTTGCAGAGGACCTTGGCATCCTTCACATGGTGCTAGTTTTAGGCACATGCAGAATGTAGGAGTTGTAGGGTCAGAAGGCGGCTGCCCAGACTTCAGAAGGTCTAGGAGGCCAGCAGTGTACCCGTGAGAGGGCAGTGTGTGAAGCTGTGAATGGGAAGCCACGCTGAGTGGAGATGCCATGAGACTCGAGAAGCCAGGAGTGTGGATCATCTGAGCAAAGCTGCGGGAGGGAGCAAAGACGGGCCAAGAGAGAGGCCCTGGGAGGGAAGACCCAGCCTGGGTGTGGGTAGCACCAACTCACGGGCTTACAAATGGGTCGAATAAAACAGAAGAAGGAAGACCACTGTCTTCTGCCTGCCCTGCCAGACTGTTTTCCTTCTGCTATGCTGCCTTGCCTTGGAGCTAGCTAACTATGGGCTGAAACCTCCACACACTGAGCTACAATAATCCTTATGGGTGCTGGTCAGCTATTTTGTCCTAGCAGTGAAAAACAAGACAAACAGTTATTATGAGGACTAAGAAACACACAAATAGATGTGTATCAGTTTTTGCCGTTGCTTTTGTTTTGTGAGACAGGGTCTCATTTTGTGGTGCAAGATGGCCTTGAACTCACTAGCCCAGGCTAGCCTCAAACTCAAGAGATTCTCCTCCTTCAACCTTGCAAGTGCTGGGATTAGGGGCATGTGCCTCCTGCCTGGTTTAAGAAACATATTTAAAAAGCTTTCTCCATCAACTGAAGAATGGATTAAGAAAGATGTGGTATTTTTATACAATGGAGTACTACTCACGCTATAAAAAAGATACACTTGAGGCTTTTGTAAGTAAATGGGTGCAACTAGAGACCATACTCATAAGTGAAATAAATCAGAATCACATGTGTAAATGTCATATGACCTCCTTAGTGTAAGAAACTGAAAGAGTAAATAAGATCTAAAAGGTACAACAGATACAGTGAAAGGGAAAGATACTGCTAAAAAGAACAGAAGGGAGCAGGGAAAGGGAAAACAAGGAAGAAAAAAAGATATGCACACACACAAGATAACTAAGATAATTATACTATGAATTTCTATTAGTTCATTAAAAGGAACAGCTAGTTCTTGTAGTGTTTGATTAATTTTACATGCCTCTATCTGGTAATCTGAGCAACTACTCTGAAGATAACAATATGCAATACAACAACCACTGTTAATTTATTATCCTCATTTGAAATTCTGTATCTTTTGTTTTTTTTGTCTCTTAAAACCCTACAGCAAAGTTCCTGCCATATATAGTATGTATAGTAAGTGCTCAATAAATTGCAACCACTGTTATAAAAATGGTTACATTAGAACTGTCCTAAATATTTCTACAAGAAATTAACAAATACCATTACTACGGTAGCTATACTAATCAGTAAGTCAGTATCCACAGTCATCCTACAGAGATGAAAAGAATACTTCCCAGACTGGTAATCCTTGAGAATCCATGATAACCTGGGTGAATCATTCCAAATCAAATACATTATCTTTCAAAGTTATAAAGCAAAATATAGAAATGGAAAACAACTAAGGATATAATCACAGGCAGTTATTTAATAAGTCTAAGTTTTACAGACTATTATAGTCATTATTTAAGAAAAAAATCAACTAAAGGAAAATGACATATCTCTACAAACAAATGGCAATACCAAAAAAAAAATCATAGACTTATACTGAAAATTATATGATGACACCAGAAGTAGGATGGTTACCTTTAAAGCAGTAATTTCTAAGGAGAAAAACCAGATCTATAAGGCCCTTTTTGTTTACCTGGATGAGTCATTGTGACTGGCTCCTCCTTGGATTTGTTATTGTAGATGACTACAGCAACTGCATTGTGGAAAGCAGCCCGTGATATTTTCTCTTTAAATGTGCAATTCCCCCTCTGCAGCAAGGCAATCCACTGTTTGATATTAGGTGGGACAAAGAACCGAGTTTGAGGGTCACAACCCAGATGATCAGCAACTAGAAGAAAGAAAAAAACACAACATATTAATGATGAATAAATAAAGTCTTAAAGTGCTCAACTATTCTCTGAATATCAAACAGATCGGCAGTACTGACCGTTCACTGACCAATAAGCTATAAATACACACACAAAGGACAGTGCAATGAATTTGAATCAACACCATACAGGAAGAGAGAGACTGACTGACAACAAACTTAAACAGACAGTTAATACCCATGATAGGTGGGTAGGAAGAAGCAGCAAGCAACAGCTCCAAGCCTGACTTTCTGCCCACTCATCTGCATTTACTAGACCCATACACCACCACCATCACCCCTGTGAAGAAAGAGATTAATTCTATTTGTGAAAAATGAGGAAGCCAAAGTAACATATAGTTCAATTACCAAGGTCTTGTGGAAACTAAAGCATGCTGAATAAATTTCTTAGTAAATGCCAAAAGAAATGAGAAAAGTTTAGTTTTAGCTTGTATTTAATTAAGTAGTATGACATGAACAGAGAACAATTTATATTTATCAGTAAAAACTACACGTTAGGGCTGGCAAAATAGCTCAGCGGGCTAAGCGCCTGCTTAGGCAAGTGCACAGACTGGGCTTTGATCCCTGGTCCCACATGCCATGCTGGCCCCACCCTTGGGCACACTGAGCCGGCCACTGACTATGGGCGTGCTGGGACACACCTGTAATCCCAGCACTGGGGAGGCTGAAACAGGAGAGTCACTGAGAGTCCAAGCTGCACAGTGAGACCCTGTACCAAATACATAAATTAAGAAAACCCCAAAACTGCATCTCTATGTTAAGACATATGTACTGTATTCCTAACAGGATGCATGAAGACACCAAGGATTTGCAAGTTATATGGCTGTGTATGTTTCCACTAAGTTCCTCAATTTTTAATTTTCACATATGTTATTAATTCTTAGCACCAGCTACAAATCTAAAGAAGTCCTTGGCTGCTCTTCTCACCCCCAACTCTCACATTTAGAAATGATGGGCAGCCCAGAAGGAGAAAAAAGCCACCAAAGCATGGTACAGAACAGAAGATGAACTAATGTTTCAGTCTTTGCAAGTCCTAAGTGTACTGGAAAGGGAGAGAGGGGAACACAGCACATTGACCCACCCATAAGGTAACATCACAGGGAAATAAATTATATACAAAAAATCAACCACTAGGGGCCAGGGAGATGGCTCAGCGGAATAAGTGCTTCCCTGGCAAGCACAAGGGCCTGAGTTCAATCCCCGGTTCCACAAAAATAAATAAATAAATAAATAAATAAATAAATAAATAAATAAAATCAGCCACTAGCTGGACATGGTGACACAAGCTTAAACTCTCAGCAATGGAGAGGCTGAATGAGAAGAATCATGACTTTGAAGCCAGCCTAGGTTAAAAGGTCAAAGCCAGCCTAAATTACACAGCAAGGTCCTGTTCTAAAACAAAAACAAAATCCCAAATCAAGCATAAATTAATAACTAATACAGTATGATTACAATATACAAAGAGATGACACTAGTGAGGAGATGTCTGCTTTCTACATATCTGGGAGCACAATGTTTAGCAAAAGAAACTAAATGCTTAGGCTGATATGTAAAATGCAGAGAAGCCACTAACTTCAGAGAAAAAAAATCCAATCTATCATTATGACTTAAATATCTTTAAGTTTTGTTATAATTATCATGGTAAGGGATAGTAAGCAGAGTGACCTCTGAATACACAGTAAGTGAGGAGATGAGTATTTTCACAATTCACTGTGACTGATACAACCTACAACTTTTCTGTAGTGGGCATAGCTCAGTGGTACAATACTTGTCTAGAATGTGCAAGGACTGTGGTTCGATCCCTAGCACTGCCAATGAAAAGTAAATGGGGTGGGGCTGTCATAATTTAAATTTTTTTTGAGGGGGTGTGATACTGGGGATTGAATCCAAGGCCTTGCAAATACTAGGCAAGCATTCTGCCACTGAATTACACGCCAGCCCTTTTAAAGATTCTGACTTAGGGTCTTGCTAAATTGCCCAGGCGGGGACTCAAACTTGTGATTCTTCTGCCTCAGTCTCCCAAAGTGCTGGGATTAGAGGCCTGCGTTGCCCTGTGGCCAGCTAGTAGTCAACTACTGAAAGACACAGTCAGTGGATTATGAAACTTTAAAATCCTGAAATAGATTGTTTACTTCCAGCAGTATCTGTTTCACAGATGATTTTGCTGTTTTAAAATACAAGCATTTATTTATTTATTGTAACAACCACTGTTAAGTGTTTTATTATTCATTTCAAACTCTATATCATGCACTGTCACTTTTTACTCTGATTTTGTCTTTGTTTCTATTTGTTTTTACTCTTTAAAATTAAATTAAATTAAAATGAAAAAATGAATATCATTCTTATACACAAGTTCACTTCAAAAGAAATTAGGGGAAACACGTCTTTTGTAATAGATCCAGAAAAATGAAATACTTAGTAATCATTTTAAAAAGGGAGTAAAATTTCTTTTTTTTCCCCATAATTTTATTGAGAAACAAATAGCAATGAGACCATTTCAAATCAAATTGGTAGGACAGTTTCAATAATTAACACATTGCATACATTCTTCTTAGTGGTTAACTGCTATACAAGATGTGGACATGATATCCTATTTACAAACACCATTAGAACAAATCCCTCTATTCATTAAGAGAATGTAACTGAATATCTATTCTAACCATTTTGAATACACAGATACAAAATGGACATTCATCTGTATCCCCTTTTTTTTGTTAAGTTCCGTTATTTGAATATTATAGGTGTGTAAACTCAGCAAAATATTCTAAAAGAGTCCAGTAGCCCATAATAGTATTGGGTCTTCCACTTGACTGGCAATGTCAGAAATTGTTGACCGGAGTCCCCTATAGCTCAACATAACACCATGGCTAAAATACAAGCATTTAAGGCAATGTGTTATGATAACCTTAGGAAGTCATCCAATACTATATGAAAACAGGGAGCAATCAAAAACCTGGTTTTAAGTGTTTCATTTGCTACTTTTCAAAACATACTGCTGTATAAACCCTGGCAGAAAACGCAGAAACCAAGAAAACTTAAGAGGACCTACATGCTTGTGTTCTGTAAAACCTACTCATTTTTCTGTGACACATCCTTTCTTACTGTGGTTTCACACTCATTTACAATGAAGTAAAGAAGAAACAACATATTTACAGAATCAGTAAAGTCTGAAGTCCAAGTTCTAAATCATCTACTTGCCAGTGCAGTAACTGTGACAGGTTACCTAAGTTCTATCATCTTTAGTTATAAAGACTAGAATACTCTTATCTCACCATTCTGTATTTTATTTTTTTTTCGGAACCGGGGATTGAACTCAGGCCCAAGAGCTTATTCTACTGAGCTATCTTCCCGGCCCACCATTCTGTATTTTAAAAGCCCACATAACTCCTTTACACTTGAGGGCTTACACAGATTGACTCCCTTTATGGATTTCTAGTGACCCAGTCTGATGCCTCACTGATTCTCTGAACCTGTGGATGTGAACTCCCCATAGCAGCCATCTCTCCCACGTCCCTCAGCTATCAACAACACAACCCAAATCTCATCCTTTGCCTGTTTCTTTTTTTCTTTTTTTATTGGTACAGGGCTTTGCTATGAAGCTCAGACTCACAGTGATCCTCCTGTCTCAGCCTACCCAGGACTGTGATTACAGGAGTGTGCCACCATGCCTGTTTTGGGGCCAGCAAGTTCTAGAGCCAACATGGCATGTAAGCATGGCAGGTGCTTAGACCACCAACCTATTTCCCCAGCCAATAAGAATATTCTGGTAAAAAGAAAATAAAAATATTACCAGGGTCATATGTAAGATATGATGAATTAAATTTCTTCCCCATTCCATCAGTGTGAAACTTTCAACTTCGATTCATTTGATTTAGTGAACCTCATCTCTTAAAAATGCAAATACTCTACTCAGTAAGCAGCAGTACCCTGTCATGTGCGGGTTAGTGGTTTCCTTCCTTACTCTGAGATTCAAAGTGCTGTAGGCTGTAAGTCTTTTGAGAATGGAACAGAACCCAGGTAAACATTTTTTCTGCAGTGACACTCACAAAGGCTGCCATCTTTGCTGCAGGCACGGGGCCACTGCCCAGACCTGCTTCTTGTTCACTGAGCCTGTGCGTCTTCTATCCTCCTCCTGAGATGCCTGGCCCCCCTCTCCTTTGCTGACCTCGTCACAAGTGCTGGATTCTGCTTTGTTCTCTTCAGCACTCCTTCCCTGCCTTCTGTGACTGAGCTATGTACTTTTCTCAAGTTGCCATGGCATCCTGAGATTGTATCCGGCTTTGCATTTATCACACTGTGTTAGTAACTGAGGGTTTACTTTGGAGTCTTTCCTTCTAGAATGCGAGAACTAGTATCTCCTACAGCATGTCTGACACATAGTAGAGACTTAACATACTTGATGAAGGAAGCAAAGGAAGGACTGATGGAAAGTAAGCAAAAATTGGCATTAAAAAATGAGCCAGGCCTGGTGGCACACACCTGTAATCCTGGTAGTTTGGGAGGCTGACGTAGGAGTTCAAGTCAATGGCTACAAAGGCTATGATATCACCAAGTGGTACAATTGTATGGGGTTACCATTGTACATGACCTCTTGTTGAACTAAGACATGTGGCATATGGTTGTGCTTTATTCCTCCAATTTTCTGCCTCTCCTCTCCCTATTTAGCTTTTCTGGTAGGATCAGCTATCACAGTGGATGGCAAAAAGATGATTTAGAGTCTAGTCCTTCCTGACTTCTAAAGAAACATTAATGATCATCCTACTTGTTCTTTTACTTTTTTTTTTTTTTTTTTTTTTTTGGTGGAACTGGGGATTGAACTCAGGCCCTTGCGTTTGCCAGGGAAGCACTTATTCCACTAAGCCATCTCCCCGGCCCCTGTTCTTTTCTTTTAAACCTGCTAGTATCTTCCAACTCAAAAAGGGAGAAAGCACAGGTATCTCCAGAACTCCCGCTACTGCCAC